CTCTCGTCTCGCCAAGTGAACGTAATAGTAATTTTGCACGAAACCTTACTCTATGAACACTAGTAAAGCTATGTTTTATTTGAAGATATAATAATCATGCAAATATCTGTATAATAGATATTTATGGATTTATCTAATTTTCGCGACAGTATTTTTTATTATTTGAAAAAGAATGAATGTTGTTTAACTCATTTATATAAAATTAAATATATATTCTCATAATATAAAAAGTTTAAAAAAAAAATTCAAAAAAACAAAATTTGAAAAATAAAAAGATTTAGGAAAAATAATTTATAAAAATTTAATTTATAAAAACTTTAAATTTAAAATTTAAAATTTATAAAATTTATAAAAATGAAATGATTATGAATTTATGAAAATTTCCAAGATTTCGAATTTTAAGTTAAGAAAAATACAATAAAAAAATAATTTAAAAATACTATATAGATTCTATAATATACTCTTCCTATTTATAGAAACCGAGGTCGATATTTATCTCAATCAGCATGCATTCAAATGATATGCAATGAAATCATCTTCATTAGTTTTATTTTTCGATGACGTACAATGTCATCATGAAATTCGAAATATTTTTATTGTGCTTACGAAAGTTGCACTTCCATTTGCTGACTTGGTTAAAATATATAAAGTATAATACAAATATATAAATAATAAATATAAATAAATATATAAATTGATAAATTTTTATTAAAAAAAATTCATTTTGAGTCAAAGTAATAGTTAATTTTATTAATTTTTATCAAAATAATTTATATCAAGAAATATTTATAAAATATTTTTCATTAATTATTAACTATTCTTTGAGTTGTTTATTTTGATATTATAGATTATGAAATAAAAATTGATCACGAAATTGATATCCAAACTCTGCTATTTTCTAAACTGATGATTTTAATTTAAATATAAAAATTAAAAGTATATAAATCATATTTTTCTAATGAAAAAATCTTTTTCTTCTTTTATCTTATTAGTATGAAACGAAATATCAAAAATGTTCAACAATTTATCAATCTGTCAATTTTGTCCATATCGAATTTCATCATTAGTATAGGTATTCGACTTTATCATAGCACGATATTTTCTCATGTATTTATCTCAAGGAACAAAAATGTGCTATTCAAATGTGTTTTTTTCTGATCCGACGAATTTGTTTCTCCCCATATGTCCGGCTTCTTCTCGTTATCTCAAATATTGCGTCACGCCCGAAAATATGTGTGAAATTTTCAGGACTTTATAAGTTAGTTCGTTCGCCGATTGGAATTTGCTTTTTTATCAGAGAAAACACACATACACACACACGTGCGCACATATACGGCGGCAACAGCACGGCAATATTGTTCAGGGAATCATCTTTATTCATACTATAATTTAAATCGAACCGAACGTGAAATATATAATACAGATACAAATATATCTCTTATTATCTCTTCAAATAAAAATAATATAAAATATTTGTCCAATCTATATACGTGGTTTTTAACGAATAATTCATTTATGATGTTAAAAAAAAATTGACGACAAAATTTTGTTTTTACAGAATAGTTAATATCTTCTTTTTTATTGAAAATAAAAAATTATTATTAAAAATATAAAATACTTGATCATTTGTATATAAATTGCATTAATAAATTTTATTTTTTATACTTTTTTTTCGATGTGTAATATCGAAAATTCTGATATTAAATAATGAACATTAACTATTACAAGAATAATAAAAAAATTTCTTTAGTTGCATTTAATTATAAAAATTGTAAAAAAAAATATTAAGATAAATATTTAAAAAGTTTTTTGTAAAACGTATTTTCTTTTTTTTATTTTAATATGTAGGATCTTTATTATTAATATTATTCAAATATTCAAAAATAAATTATTTTAATTTATACGATTTGTTCTATCAACTAAATATGGATATAAAATAAACCGACGTATGGAATGTCAAAAAGGCGACTAAAAATAACTCATTAAATTAGCTACGCGGCTTTCGGACTCGTTATCTATTTTGTCTCTGATAACTTCCATGCCACCTTCACCATTTTTGTTTTCAATGTTATTTTCTACAAGTTTCATTATTTTTCATTATTTTAATTTATTATATAAATATAAAAATCACAAATTTTCAAAAATAAAATACTATTAATGAATGTTTGATAAACTATAAATAACAAATAATAAATACAAATAAATAAACATATTTATTAATTTATTAATTAAAATAATTATTTTTCATAAATGATTTAAGCAGAACATGAAATACAATTTCCACGAAAATGATTGCTCATGACTGCCATAGAAACAGAATTTACAGATCACATGACAGTACACTGCATTCTTCATCGCATTGATTCAACAGCGCCAATAATTAGTTGCTCTTATAGCTCAATTGTCAATGTATCAATAAATCTTAAATGGTAGCTAATCTACTATGTCAAATTCGATGGACTAAGAACATCGACAATGAATTAACCAATTATGACGAAAATTGTACTCTTCGAAGCAAAAAATTGATCATGCGCCATAATTTTTTACTACATAACATTGTTTTTACACGAAGAAAATTCATGCGTGATTAATATAGAATTGCATTATACTCAAATCGATAGATCCTATTCGAGAATCTCGAACGCATCGAACGAATCAAATTGCAAAAATATATATTTTAACATAGCTTCTGAACACGAGAAACAAATATTCGAGACACAAAGCAACACCGTTGCACGTTGCCGGGTTTCTTTCTTCTCGAGTCACTTCCTGCGCCACCAGTGACTCACGTGAATCATCGAACAGTCAAGAAAAACGAACAGGCGAAAGTATTCGACAAAGAGTCTCTATAGCCGGTTTGTCCTTGCCGGTATATTATAACTAAACTTTTGCTTTTCGCGCGAATCTCAATTATTATGTTTATCGCGAATTCGATAAATCGAAACGTTACGATTCAATAGAGAAGAGATATTCGAACCTAACCTGTAAGAAAACCTGGTTTCTTTTTAACCATAGAGACACTCTTTGACACGAGAAATTGGTGTAAGCAAAAAAGATCGTTATAAGAACATAAATAATAATCGAACGATATAGAAAGAATTAATAAAAAAATGAATGAAATAAATAGATGTTTTTAATTTTAAAAATCAACGAAGGATCGGGCACCGCCTGAGAAAATGCGCGGGCGGCCACCGTGCATGATTTCCGGCGGCGTTTGCCTGGCGTGCCACGCCACGACGACCTCACGGGGGGTTGGACGCTGTTCTTTTTTTAGAAACTATATATCCCTATAGAGACATTGGTTTTCTCTTACCTTGCGTCTTCAAAATATTCGTTAAATTTGTTCAGTGAACAATCGACGTATATACATCCGTGTACTCCTTGAATCTAATGGCCTTCTGTCGCACTCTATTCGTCTCTCTCTTTCTTCCTCGCGCACTCCTTCGTACACTGTCTCCCTCTCTTTCCCGTTCTCCGTCCTTGTTCACAGCCCACTATATCCCAATCTACAGAGATTCTCCGGCGATTACTCGCTTCCTACTCCTGTTCTGCTCGGTTCGTCGTCCCGTTGGCGTAACGAACACATCGAAAGCAATTGAAGAGAATCCGTGGACTGGTGCCGAGTAATATGGAGCCACGAAATAAAGTTAAAAACGAAACGAACGTATCACTGGCTCAGAAATTCCGCACTGGTCGAATGTCTCGCGCGGCGCGGGTGCACCAAAGCTCCTCGGGGCACGGTCCTCTTGTTCGGTCGTCTCGAAAAACCGATAATCACTGGCTCAAGACGGCTGTTCACACACCATGAGAAAACAATCTTAATTCGGATGACGATTCTTCTTCTCGCGAATGATTTCGTTACGTTTCTTTTGGTTTTCAAGCACTTTCGCGAAAAAACAGCACGACACCAGCCCACGATTCTACCGTTATCTAGGGCGATGCCTCTCTGCTGCTCGCCGCTTTGGCCTCTGCCCGTGACTATATAACTATAACTATATAGATGGCGTACTCAATGTAAGAAATGCATCATACGTCTGCTTTATCTACTCATCAGAAGACTCCATTGATCGGTAATAATCAAAATATGAATTTCAAGTTAAAAAAATTATAATGGTTTATAGAGTGTTTATAATATTATCTGTTAGTTGCGTTTCTTATGTTAGAAAATATTCGTGATCATATTTAAATTTTTTACGTTAAACTTATTTTATTTTTTATTCTTTTTTTTGTTTGTGCTTTATTTTTTATTTCATTATTATTTATATATATATATATATTTCTAATATTATAAAAAAATAAATAAATAATTAATATTAGTTGTTAATAATTAAAAAATTAGTATATTTCGTTTTAATTTTTTAATTAACATAGGGTAACGAAATGTTACGACATTGGTAAGTTTTTATTATTAAAATTTTATATATTGTTTTATATACTTAAAAAGAAATCCTATTTATTAAGAAAATTTTTCTTTAAGAATAAAAATTTATTTTATATTTGCTCTATGTATCTTAAACATTTTATATTTAGTATTATATATTTATATATATAAAATTTTAATATATTTCAAACTCACATAAATTTAAGTTATATATATTTGGGTACATTGTTTTATAGTCTTAAGTTTAAAATCGTTTAATATTATGACAATTAAAATACAAAGAAAAAATATCGCAAACTAAAATTGTTATTTAAAATAATTTTAGTTTAACAAAAATTTGTTTCACAATGATTGTGCGTGTCATGAATGACGTTTTTTACAGTAATGAATATCATAATTTGATGATATTTCTTAATTCTTATGAAACATCTAATAGTTTTTTATTATTTCTATAATACTTAATAGATAATAAGTATGTTCTTTTACTGTAATAATATTAAAAGTGAATAGCACAAAAAGTGAAAAAATTTTTCTAAATATTTGAGGTTAGATTAGATTGTTTTGAAAAATAATTTTCCTTAATAATATTCATTAATTACTTATTATCTTTAATATTGATAATTACGATCCTTGTGTTAATTGTTTAATTTACTAAAACAATATTATTATATATTTTCAATAAAATTAAAAAAATTATTTACCAATTATGGAAATGAAAAAAAAATATCGGAAATTAAATATTGCAAGTCAAGGCGAAATTCTACGATCACATCAAAGAGATGATGACTTTGTCAAATATTTACGAGAAAAGGTTATCGATATACTACAAATTTTGCAAAGGAAAACGGGTTTATTACCCTTTATTCACTCTGATATTCCATTTAAATTAGTTTATTTTTTTTTTACATCGGGAATGGGTAATCAAACGTTGGGTGAAGAATATACTGGACTTGTGCAAGCCAATTTAAAAGCTTATAAAGTTCCATCTATATATGTATGTAGCTAAAATATAATAAATAAATACAATATATTTTTTTAATATGCATTATCTACTTATTATTTAGGCAAGAATATTGGCAGTAATTTTAGAATGTTTTGGTGAAAAAGCATTGATAAGATTATTAAAACAATTGGAATTATCAATTAATCATCCTCACAGTAAATTAACTCCTACAACTGTAGTATTTTTAAATTCTTTCATATCAAAAATGTATACTATAATACCTGTTTTTATATTATTGCATAAAGGATTATTTTATATATTTGGTCGATATTATAGTTTAAGTAAAAGAATAGCAGGAGTAGATTATGCAAAGGTAATTACTGTAAAGTATTGTTACAATAACATTTGATATTTGCCATTATTTTTTTTTAAATTTAAAGGTGTATGGTCATCGGCCTACTGATACTATCAGTTCAGGATTGAGGCTATTAGGAATTGCTACACTTATACAGTGTATGTTGAAAATCTGGCAAAATTATAAAAGTGAAAATCATTTTGAGAAATATTCAATACTTGATGAGAAACATAATAAGTTGATATGCCAGTTGTGTCTTGAAAAAGTGCCAACAACTACCACACCCTGTGGTCATTTGTTTTGTTGGTTTTGTCTTACTGATTGGTTGCATACTAAACCACAATGTCCACTGTGTAGAGAACATGTTGTACCTTCTAGAATTGTACATGTAATGAACTTGTAATATTGTTTTTAAATATTTAAAAAGATAAATTAATAAAAATAATATGCAAATGTTTCTTTTTTAAATAATTATTAAGTTAAGGATAAATGATCTAGTAGAACTATTTTATGCGTTTTAATATTATAATTTATAGTTATAATTTGTTTTTGAACATCAATTACTATGCATCTGTGCTAATAATAATCTTATACAGATGGCAGTCATTGTAATACACATATATATATATGTATCGAGAATAAATGTAAAGCAAAATCAGAACACACGCGCACATTTATACACACTCATATATATATATATATATATATATATACATATAAATATTATATATATATATATACAAAAATATCAAGTTTTTATTCATAATACGCGTATACGCGCTATTATTTTTGTATAACAACACATTATTCACATAAATGATAATGTACAATTGTTTTATTTTCATTGTATAGCATTTTTATAAAATTCTAACTTGAATCAAGGAGTCAATAACAATAAACTCATAATTGTGGGAAGAGGGATGAGAGGTCAATGACGTTATAGTCATAAGGATGTGCGCTGAACGGAAAGAATTCCTACTTTTTCAGCAAAGTTACCGAGTAATTGACCAAAGCCACTCGATTCGGAATTATCTTTCATTCGAAACCCAACTGTATGACTATAAGCATTATAAAATATTCTTCTTAAGCACTGTAATTTTTCTTTGCGAGATCTAAAACATATATAATATTAAAATTACGGAATTTATAATTTTTTTTATAATAATTTTAATAATAATATGATACTTACTGTGCCGACGACGCACAAACTTCATCCTCAATAATTGTCGTACTCGATTCTTGAGATGTATGTCCCGTAAAAGTTTCACAAAGAGGCTTACAAGCTAAACTAGTTGTCAGTCCATCTGTGAGCGGGGCATTAGCAGTTGTGGAACCACGTAAACTTCCAGTTCCAGATATCATCTGCCAAGAGCCACCCGACGAAGAGGATTCATTTCGTTGTCGAAGACGTCCAGGTACAGGAACCGCAACAGGAGAAGTTCGATTGTGTGGTAAAGGTGATCGTGATCCATGAGCAATTCCTTCTTTATTTGGAGAAGGATAAAATGACCATGGTACAACGTTCCTATAAAAGAAGCAATTACAGAAAAATATTATATACGTAGAAAATAAATATATTTTACCCGTTACTCTGACTGTCATCTTGAGGTTCTGTGGAAGAACAGTGAAACACCGCTGGTGGATTATTATCTTGACTGTCTCTGCTATTTTGACTAACAGAACTACACCAACTATTCAGACTTAAGTTAGAACTGACTGAGCTCAATGTCACTACCGATTCGCTATCGAACATAACGTTATCTAATTGTGAATCACTGTCGTTGCGTAGAACTGTGTGTCTAGATTTGCTATGACGCGGATGAATACTAAATTCTTCATCATGAATGTGCTTTAGAAAATAAAAGCAAAAGAAGAATATTTCCTCTCCTTTGCTTAGTCGATCCTCTAAATCATGGCCGAACAGCATCCAATCGTACGCTATGGTAAAATAAAGAATTTGAAATGCGTTCAATGATGTATGAATTACACCATCAGCCCATAAACTGATTCTTAATAATGAAATAAATAAAGGTGTGCGATCCCATCCTACAAATAGTATTATGTATTATTAATTACATAAAATTAAATATTACGTTATAAAAATTATATTATCGCAAAAAAGACATACCTGAGATACAATGAATTAATATCCCATTACCACTGTCATTTAAATATCGTAATATAAGTTTCAAATAATTTTGAGTTAATTTGACTAAATCCCAGACTTGATATTCATCCCAATTGATTCGTAATTGTGCAGAAATTGAATCTTCTGGCACTCCGATTTGCGCATCTACGTGTGTCTGAGACCAATCAAATACTAATCCCTTAGCCAAATAATCATTCTCTCTAAACTCTTTAAAGAATTCACATCCAGGATATGGTAATGAAATCAAGGTGAATTCGGAATACCTCTTCTCTTTGTCTACTTTCTCTGAGGATGTCACACTGAGTATTGAATAAAAAAGCTCTGTTTAAAGTCCTTTAAAAAGTGAATTCATAGAATAAAAAAACTAATCATGCTATTAATTGCTATGAAACTTCATTGACTCTGTGAAGAAGTGAAAGTTGCTTTCTTAATTTTTTCTATCTTTTTTTTTCTTTAAATCTCTATATCCAATTATACTTTGATCATAAGAGAACATGAATAAAAATTTATCTTGTCATTTTAATAAAATAACAAAAATTTTTAATATATGAAAATATAATCTATGGTAATATATTTACTCTAAAATTCATTTCAAAATATAATATACATAATATATAAATACTTAATACTAATTATTTCTACATTAATATTATAAATACTAATATTATAAATAATGTTTAAAAAAGTACAATATAATTTATTTCAAATAAAAGACATATTTGGTAATAAAAAACAGATAATATTCTTAATTAATTTTTTCAATTAATGCATGCATCAAATTATTATCAATTAAAATTGATTTACTTACTTTACTCCAAATTTTACTTTCTTCTTCTCAACCATGAAGTCAATAATAGTTCCTACTTTGAGAAATTTCAGAAGCTTGATGTCATGATGCCTAACTTTATCAAACAATTGCCATTCACTAAGTACAGAATCACTTCCACGAGCTTCATCTACTTGATGTTGAATGGAAATTATACCTTCACTACCAGCAAATAAATAATCTAGTCCGGATCTACCATAAATTTCTGGTCCTCCAGATAGAGTAGCTGATCTGCATACATGTCTACCTTTATACATTATTACAGGCAGTGGAAATCGAGAACGACACCTAGCAAATCTAGCTTGTTTTATCAAATCCTTCAATCTGTTAGAGTCAAAAGTGTTTTCATATATAGTTTCTGTTGTGCGAGGCAGTGGTGGCGGCGTATCACACATATTTGGATTCCTACTCTTCTCACCATCTAAAATAATAAGATGGCTAGGATAATGTGCACTGAGATCACCATCATTATTGCTTATGATATAATGAGTGTAATCTAAATCAATAAGCAGAACACATCTCTGCATAATTGCTTGACTCTAAAAAAAAAGTATTGTTTAGAATTATAAAGAAAAAAGATTAATCCATTGGAATATATGTACATATATGTATATATATATATATATATATATATATATATGTATATGTATATGTATATATATATATATATATATATAAGTTACCGTGCTATCTGCATCCTTGGCTCTATAAGTATTTTTTGAGAAATATATGAGAAGCTTCTGTAAATCTTGAATGGTGATTTCTGTCATGATTGAAGTAAATTTTTTAAGAATATAATATCCAAAAATTTTAACTAAAAGACAATTTATTTCTTTCTCTAGAATGGTTCTAAGTTTCTATAATTTTTATATGAATGCTTATGAATTGTTAACTGTAGCCAATATCTTGCATATGAGAGGAATGGCACAAACACTATTTGAAATATACCACATTACAATTTATAGATTTTTTTTTTTGTTTGTCATGATTTCTTCTTAAGTTTAAAGGACGTTACTTTCAATGTAAACATAACAAGTTTATAGGTCTATGAGAACATGATATTGTATAAAATACATAAAAGTTTAAATTTTAGAATATATTGATGATTTTATTAATAAAATATTTATAAAATAAACTCATGCTGTGTAATTCAAAAAATAAAAAGTAGCAATAATTAAGATTATAGAAGAAAGCATGAATTTCATTTTAAAAATGTTTTAATATTTGTACAATTTGTTTAAATAAGTATAAATAATTGTTATAAAATATTGTTAAACAAACATTATACAATTGTAAGTTATAATATTAGCACTATATTTAAAAAGAAAATTTATATTTAAACATATATTTCTTTGATTATTCATTTTAGAAACATATATTTCTCTTTTAATTGTATTAAAATATAATATAAATAAAATATTTTTAAATTTATAAACTATTGTTTTATAAAGTAAAATTTTAATTTTCATATATAACTTAAAGAAGTAATGAAATCAATAATGTCTTGATTATGAGAGTCCAAGTATTATATAGTATATTTCATTTATTTTCCTTAGTTCAATAATTTACACTTGTTTCACTTCTTCAATTAAATGTATATTTTTTCTTAATTTTTTTTTCTTTTTTTTACATTCAATCATAAATTTAATTCAAATTATTTTCTTCTTGTTGTAATTTTTTTTATTTATTAATATAACAGATGCTGAACAGGAGGAATTTTCCATTTACAGAAATTTTTAGTAGGAATTTGAGCAATTATTTCGTCATAACAATAGTAGAGAACGCTCCATAGAATTGCTTAACCTGAGTTCAAGTCAAGCACGTTGTTTCCATTGTAGCAAACATATTAATTAATGCTTGATAACATTCATAAAATGTTCATCAGATGATGTAGTTGAAAATGAAAACGGAAAGTTTATCACCGGGTATATCCATGGCATCTCATCGTTTTTCAATCTCGATAAGGATCCAATGAGATAACCTAAATATCACACCCGAAAAAATATGTTTTACATTACGCGCAGTAATTCGAATCTGTTCTGAATAAACTGTCATCCTTTTTTATTTTGTTCACAATGTTTTCTCGGTTATACACCGAAAAATCTGTTATCTCCTTATCACCACGTTCACGTGTCGCATTTAAAGATAGTTATTAAAAGGACGAGAATGTCCCTCTTCGCTGTCGATCTGATTATCACGATCAGTACATCGACCTTGATGTCTTATCCTTTCACCCACGCGGTAATAAACACGAGAAAACAATCGCGTTTTAACAAAACAAAAATATTTTTTTCTTATGATTTACAAACGAAGCGGAAATCAGTCGTTTAGCAAGACGAAAGTACGAAGTGAAACGCAGCGTAGAAAGATAACCTATTTTTGTAATGTGGAGACCGCGTGTTTTGCTCTGATGGTATTGTAAATTTACATTTAATAAATATGCAAAACATTATTTGAAATATATCGAAATGTAATCACTT